CCCACCCACACCCTCACAACCACCCACATCCACCGACACCCACACCCTCACACCCACCCACACCCACCGACACCCACACCCTTTTGTAGAGCAAGTAAAACTCTATCGATTGGTATATGATTCAGTTTGAATAGTGGAAAAATTTTAAGATAAACAAATTCAAATATGAATCCTATATGACATCTGATTTCGCCAAACAAGACAAAATATGAGTATGGTCATCTCAAGTGCTGAACGTTGTTCAGCAACGTCCCATATATCATTTGATGCAGAATTAAATGGGCTACAAAATAAAATAAAATTTCTTTTGGCAATCGACTTCTGACCTGTAGGTTTGGTCAAAATACTGAAAAAATCATGAAATTTTATATGTGAAAAAAAGAATGTTTTTTGACTTTTTGTCTTCAATATCCAGGTTGAGGAGAAATGTCATATATACCATTTTGTAGAGCAAGTCAAGCTCTATCGATTGGTATATGACTCAATTTGAATAATGGAGAAGTTTGAAGCAAAAAATATACAAAACTAATAGTTGAAATTTTTAGCAATTTTTAGGAATATTTTTGAGGGTGTCTCATATTGGTCCATCCTAACAAGCCACAGATAGATCTTTGGACCGTAATATTTTGGATTTATATATTGTACACTAGGGCCTAAATTCCTATGGGATCAGATTCAAAATCGGTTGACCCACATGTTTTCGGAATTTTGATATTTTCATGGAACGTCTCTTTAAAACCCTACTTGTATTATTTAAGTGGCTGGAGTATATTATTCATTATTCTAAATCACAGAGTTTCTAATTTTTGCGCAGAGAAACGATTATGATCAAGATAACAAGAGTGACGTTTTGAATCGATGCAACCGTTGTATGACCAACCGCATAGTATAAACTGATGAAATCCGAACTTTCGGGAATGGCTAATATCAATTTTTCTAAGTTCAGAGAAATAAATAATAGATCGTTGGGATCGTCTGTATATATAGCGAATATGTACAATAGACCTATTTACTCATTAAATTGGTAATTTGACGAATAATAATAGATGATGAAAATGAAATAAAGAAAAAAGAAAATAAATACCGACCGACAAACAATAAGAGAAATAAGAAAAAAGTGCACCTTGAAAAAAACAAGAAAATAAAATTTCTGTTCGCAGTTTAGAAATAAAAATGAGAGAGCACTTCCCGACAATCAATTATCATTGCGAAATACTTATCGTCTGTTAGACTCTTGACACTTTGCATGTTTTGTATTAGTATTGCAAAGCTAAAGACGACATTAAGTTCCACATTTCAGTCTCGAAGGAGCTGCACTAATAAGCATTTGTATAACAGATCTCGAGTAACGAGATAATTCGGAGTCGGTCATAAATGTTGCTTGATGAAGAGAATGATGAATTTTTAGACATTGAGTAGAAGTTGTAAAAATGCTACATAGTCAATAAGGCTGTGAAGCCCTGGTATCTTGTTTTTTACGCCTATACTTAGAAGTGAACTTAAGGTTGCGAGAATGAATAGGTCATCTATATTTGCAGTGTTTTAAGTTGCTTATGAACTACTAGTGTTTTCTACGTCTTTCCAATTAGACTAAAATGCATGCCATTTTTCATTATATTTTCCGTTCGAAATATGCGTATTTCATCTTAACCAAAACCATAGTATTTGTCATATTTTTACAATCTGACTTTGTTACACGAATTTAAAGAGATAAAAGATGTGTTAGTACTCATGTAGAACAGGCAATGTGGTCGTCGATCATAAAACGAGAAATACGACAGTTTAAATAGCTATTTGTGGAATTAATATATCTCCAGATCATATACAGAGAATTTTGGTCGTTAATAGGCAAACAAACGTTGATTTATTGCCTTCGTATACACTTTTCTTTTTCTTTTCTTATCTCTACACATGCGAACGTATTTGGGTGTGTTATATGGCAAGGTATTATAATCGTAATTCTCAACTCACGGTATCAGAGAAATACGATCGTAATATTAAGATATGATAATGTCAATGTACGATTGGAAACCGTTGTTTACGAATGTTTTCGTATTATTCTTGCCGAGTATCAAGCATTTTGACTATCAACTAGGGTATAACTCTCACTCTCTGCTAAAGTAAGGGATCAACCTGCATGCGGCATGTGATAATATGGCAGTACACCAAGCGGAAACAGCGCATCTTCAAAGCATGCAGAAATAGCTCCAAGTACATTGAACTCCACTTCAAGTACGCCAAAGTACTTGAAATAGTTTAAAGTCGCAAAGGTATCTCAAAGTAGTTCCAATAACTCACAGTTGTTCAAGTAGTTCAAGCAGTTCAAGTAGCTCAAAGTACAATAAAGTACATCGAACTAAGCATCAAGCAGTTTAAAGTAGATCAAATAAACTTCAAGTACAAAAGTACGCTGTCTCCCTTGTGGTACACATATTGTTTCAACAAAAGCGCACCATCAATTGTAGGATGTGAACGTTGGCGAAATAAGAAATAAATAAATGCGGAAACTTCGGATTTAAATCCGAGAGTTATGTGTACTTCAAAAAGTGAATTAGACAGATGAGTCATCCTAGAATATGTGGATATCAAAATTATACTGGGAAATCTTTCCTATAAACTATTTATTTCTGTTGACTATTGATCCATCAATAGGGCTTGGAGGCGAATAGAGCTCAAATTTGAACTCTTCGCCTTGATTTACCCTAAGAAAGTCGTTTTTCCTATAACTTGATTTCTATTGGTCACTGCTGAACCAATAGTATTCCGAGGCAAGTGGAGTACGGATTCGAGTTCTCCGCCCCAGAAAACCTCAAAGTATCAACTCTATGATCGGAAGATAGAGCTCGAAGTGTGAGTCCATTAGATGGTGGACAAAAACGGAACCTATTTCCGTTTGATTATCTTTGTAGTAGGTGAGTTAGCCTTCTCGTTCCTTTATGTTTTATATACCATTTTGTAGCTCGTGAAATTCTCTATCGAATGGTATATAATAGTTCGGGTTTTATTTGACTATGATAGGAAAAGTTTTTTACGAAATCGGGGATGGGTCGATTTTCGCATAGGAAGCCATAGGAAAAAATGAGTATTTTTGCAATAACTCAGGAATGGTTCACCCAATTCTTCTCATCTTCGAACTCGACCGAGACATTGTTAAGACTGAACTGTGTAGAAAATCCCATCGCGATTGGACTCTCCTTTCAAAAGTTATCGTGTTAACGGCCGGACGGACAGACATACTGACCGATTCTAGAGAGTACTCACTTTTTGAGTACACAAAAAAAGGGATGGTTCGTTGACATCTGTTATTTTCTATGTTTATTTTATATGACAAATTGTATTCTATTGTGAAATGAATATTAATAATGCAGAACAAAAAAAAAAAAGAAATGAAGTTTATCAGCTATCAGATTTCGTCTCTGTTTGTCAATTATAATTTCTCTCGATAATTAATTAGAAAACTTTCTATTGAATCAACCATATTTTCAAGCCATGGTTTGTAAACGTGGATAAGTTTTGTGTTTTCCGTACTGGAAATAGATTCGTAGGATATATCACGATAACCCAACATATCATGTAATTTATTGTCGAAATGTTCTTTTAGTATTTTTTGAGCTTTATCGAAATCGAAATTTGATAAAGATTGATTCCCATCATGTGTATGTAATAAAGCGAGGATATCACGCATATAATCAAGTTCTAAATCAATCCAAACGAGAATATTGAAAGGTACCATCGCTTCTTCTCGTTTTTTCCATTCATTTAGATCAGCTTGCCATTGATCTTTCTCAGGAAATTTAACATTATCAAGAAAGACATCACGTACAAGTGCTGTTTGTAGCTCGAACAAAGGGAATGTATAGAGGTACCTTGTAGCACCTAAATAGGCGAGATATGGTTGATCAATCCAAAAGATGCTTTTGTAAAGACTCGGCGGGATGATTTCATCTACATCACAATGTAAACGAAATCGTTTGGCCATAAATGGATAAAAATGACGATAACCAGTACAAAAGATAATAGCATCGATATTATCAGCACTCGAACCATCTTTGAAATGAGCCTTTCGTCCTTCCATACGAACTAATATCCATTTCAATGAACAGTGCAGTCGGTTGTAAGTTGAATAACTCCAGCTAGGAAACAGCTAGAGATCTGCGGTTTTCAGCATCGGATAGAGGAGAGGTAACTTTATATGGAAATATAAACAAAAATACCATTATACCGGATATCGAGGTCACCTGCCTGCAAAATTTGCAGCAACTTGCCTGAGCGTCATCACTGACTTTGGCATTGAGTTTTTTTGACATAGGCTTAATAAAGCAGACGATTATCTATCATTTGACACCAAGCCCAGCTTTCTAGCTTTTACCGTTAGAAAGTTACAGGCATTTTTCCTAGAGTCGAAAAGTAGCATTTTCA